TGATGATGCTGTGGGGGTGTTGGACGCAACATTGAAGCCTCTGATTGATGGAGGGCTAAAAATGAAAGCAGACGAAGAAGTTGTAATGTCTCCAACGAAAATAGTTTTGACTGCAACGCCAAAGTTAAAGGAAGATCTCTAGCTAGTGAAGAGCTGGACATTAGTAGAGATCGAAGAAGAAGGAATTTTAGGTTGATTAGAATAATTAGTTAGTGTAATTAATTTCTTTTTCATTAAAGATGTATTGTTTTCATTGTTTAATTTGTTGTTTATTGATTTATTTTATGGGCATCTCAAAATGTATATGGATACTTATGCAGTGATCATTTGTGATTAAAGGTTTCTAATGATGGTTTCATTGCAAGGAAAAGTGGTGTGACAATTTGTGAAGGAAAAGCAAGCATGTTTCATCAAACTTCTTCTCCTTTTTTTTTCATTCTTCTTTTCCTCTCTCTCTCTCTCTCTCTCTCTCTCTCTCTCTCTCCCTCAAAGTCATTTAAGCCAATTAAGAGAAACTGACACACATGTCACATAAGCAAGACCCGAAACCAAGAGTTCTTTTGGTTGTTAGCCAAAACTTCGAACCAACAAATCTGGGTGAGCTGCGTTCTCTATCTCTCTCCCTTACGTATATAAAGTTACAATAACATGCAATTTTCTTTTAGTATGTTAATAAAAACCCATTGAGATTAGGTTGATCTATCGAATTAATATATTGTGATTTTAAAATAATTAAAATCATTCAAACCGCTTGCTCTAATGATGGAAGAAGTTGATTGTTAACTTCTATTTAATGAGTGTAGTATCAACATTTAAATGATATGAAAAAGTTTATGTTTAGTACATGCTAGAAATTTAGTAATAATAGAGTGTTTAATATCTTAATTTATACAAACATTCATCAGTATGCAAACAGATAGAAATTGCAATAGATATTTGAATTTCTTAGGTGAAAAATTGAAAAAGGAAAATTTATGGGACTTGATCTGATTGAAATAATCCTCTACATAGTTATACACATTTAAGAACAATTATCTAATTATGTGTTTGAATGGGTCTCCATAGTCAGATAAAAAAAATGGTGGGGATAGTTATTGTTAGTGGTTGTTGATAGTTATTGAGTTCTCTTGGCTCTAAAATTAACCTCCATTCATGTGGAAAATCAAATCGTATTTATAGCTGTTTTAAAGATATATTTTAATAAATTTGGACAAAATCTAAAATACTACTCCAAAAGATATATTGATCCAACAACAAAAATAATAACAACAACATTATCATCAATCATTTATCCCACTATGTGGGATAGGCTACCTGATCCTTTTCTCCATTATGTCCTATTACGTGTCATATTCTCATTTAACTATAATAAAAAAGTTCATTTCTAATACTTTTGAACAATATATATGTTTTTAGATTTACCTCTATATTTCTTAACATATGCTAGATATAATACATCTACTCTCCTAATCAGATCATCGGAAGGCCTATGTTTTATGTGACTAAACTAATTAAAACAAATCTATCTAATCTTATCTATCACTAGAGCAACTCTAGCCCTTTCGCATTTATATTCGTTTCACGTTATGTCTCCAAATATAAAATAGCTCACCAACCTAAATATTCTCACTCTGCAACTCTTAATTTTAAACAACTAGACTAATTCTTTTAATCACAAATCATTTATTTAATATATGAATTCCTTAATGCTCTCAAAATTGAATGATCTTAAGCTCATTAGATACATCTCATTGATCCCTTGATTTGTTTATAGCATATAAAAATCATAGTATAGATAATATTGAATCTAATTTCATACATTTTTATTTGTTCATAGCATATAAAAATCATAGTATATATAATATTGAATCTAATTTAATACTTTTTTATTAATATAAACTAATACATCAAAATTCGTGCCTATCAAATATAATGTCCTTGGAGAGTATGATCAATCCCAAACTTAAAAAGGAGAAATGTCTAATAAATCCAAACGATCCCTTCCTTTAGTAAAGCTTTTAGAAGATCCATGCAATTGTTACCTTTTATACAAACACACAGATTAAAAATAATATACCATGTATCAATTGGTCGGCCATTTCTGTAATTGAGAAAAACTTTGGCCTCTTGATCGAGAGGAGGTAACATAACAGCATTAATCCTTGATACAACCACTTTAACTAATTCACAAGCGTTAGACATTCCAAAACATGCCGAGTATTAAACAAATAATAAAAAAAATTTCATAAACGGCATATTGGAATGCTTCAAATTTGAAAAAGTAATCTAAATGTTGCGTCAAACATTCGCGGCGGTAGAGAGATATGAAGTTTTGAGTTCTAGTTTTGCATGAAGATTCAATGCACAAATAGATAAAACATAGGGTTGAAATATTCATAAGAGAAACCAGAGTTTTTATATCGAATCCCCTAAAATTGTGGAAAAATCATGGGGTCTTGCCTAATTGATAGATGTGTCAAAATGAATATTCGGGACGGATTCAAGTTGAGCCTGGCATTGACTAGGCCGGTCCAAATGGTTTGATCCAAACTCGACAACCAGAGTGTACATTGGCCTTATAAGTAATAGTGGGTATGGATGTTGGTGGACAAAAAGAAATAGCATTGAGTGCATCAATATTGTTAACAACAATGGGCAATGAAGTCGGTCGGCATCAAAATGAGTGTGGACTTACTTGTATCAATCTTATATTTGATGGTATATATGTATCAATGATGGTTGCGACTGGAGGCAACAAAGTCAGCGAACATCGACCTTTGTGTAGATAGCAAGAATTAAAATTATATGCGACGATAAATGATAAAGTCGGTGGAAAATGGTAGTCTAGCAAAAGTAATCAAGCTATGAGGGTTGAGTGATGGTAAGATAGTGATTGGACGGCGACAACCCTAAAGCAATGCTAAGTAGATTGTGGTGGTCACACAGTGGTGGTGCAACAAAGGTGATTGAAAATCTCTGAGCTCTATAATCTATGATCTAGCCCCTTTTCATTTAGAAAAAGAGGATCTTTAATAGTTTTTTATAGTGATACTTTGATCTTTTTTATCAAAGTCTGAAATCATTTCATTAGAGAGCCTATATTGATTCTCTTGATCCTATAGCATGGTGATTGGACGGCGACAACCCTAAAGCAATGCTAAGTAGATTGTGGTGGTCACACAGTGGTGGTGCAACAAAGGTGATTGAAAATCTCTGAGCTCTCTAATCTATGGTCTAGCTCCTTTTCATTTAGAAAATTAGGTCTTTTATAGTTTTTTTTAGTGATATTTTGATCGTTTTTATCAAAGTCTGAAATCATTTCATTAGAGAGCCTATATTGATTCTCTTGATCCTATAGCATTCTTTTAATATTTAAGTGTTATAATGATGTCAAATTTAAACATGTTTGAACTTTTTGAATTTTTCTCATTGAAATGATTTGAATATTGCAACATTCGAAAATTTTGATCATTTAGTTAATATCATGAGATTTCATACTAGACTTCAAGTTTTTTTTTTTTTTTTTTGGCTTAGTTGAAGTTAGAATCAAAATTCAAGCTTTGGCTTTTTTATGAAGAGTCAAAATTGTAAATTCTAATAATAAGAAGCACTAACGCATGAGCCGGTATTTCTTTTACAATTTATTTTTGATATTATTAAATTTATTATAATATGATGATAATATATGACTTGATTGATTAGTAAATATTATATATTTTCAAAAAAAAATATTTGTTTTTAAATTTTATCATAACTAAATTTAAATTAGAATATCTTAATTCAAAATTCATCCACCGTTATTGCTTTATTGGGATCTGATGCTCCCTCGCATCTCAAGCCATTAAATTATGAAGTGAGATTATGCAAAAATTATATGCGGACGTCGTGTCCTTATAAGTTAGAATTAAATCCAGATCCACTCAACCAACCAAACTATTCATGCTTTTATCGAAGACCGCAGGAACACCCGACCGGCCGACATTAGGTCTCCTGCCGACGATACTGAACCACCAAACCACCGGTGAGCCGGTTCACGCACTCTTGAACCGCGATCCGGGGCGCGCAACGCGCTTGCTGACGTGGATGCCCCGCACGTGCGTGAGTCCCATCGTCTTGACCGCTTTTTTTTTTTTTTGTCTTTGAAATAATTAAATTCGGTTGAAGATAAATTAATATGGTCATTATTATTTTTTGAAGTGAAAAATGAAAAATTCGGTTGGAGATGCCCTTAGAGCCCATATCTACTACATTATGTAATAAAAAAATAGCTTAAATGTTGAGAAATTCGTGTAAGAGGAAATATGAACTTAAAAAGTATGATTTTATAATAAATAAGAATACATTTGATATATATATATATATATATATATATTATTGTTATTTTCATTGATGCCACTTACTCTAGCTCTTTTAAATATAACTTATACCCACTAATATGGTAACTTTAAAAACATTGCCAAAATCAAATTTCATAATAAATAATGCTACCTTTTCCAATATATTGCTCAAAAAATTAGATGGAAGATAATTAAAATTAATAGAGTGGCATACATGTAATTGAACTAAGGAGACATTTTCTGCTTTTTTTGCATAATATAATTAGAGCAGTCATAGAACAATAAAATTAGAGAAATATTTTGTTGTATAAAATGATAATATAATTAAAATTTATAAGAGTGGAGAAGTCGTGCCCACATAGGTGTAAAATAATCGAAAGAGTAAATAAAAATGATTTAAAAAAAAAAACAGAATTAAAATTCATAGTAACACAGTTATTTAATTCATGTAAAATCATTTTATTTATTTTCCAATGCGAAGGGACAGTGAGTCAATACTGCCCGGTGTGAAGACTGTCCTTTTAAGCCGTTTCGGGTTTAGAGGGGTCGGGCGGGACCGGCTTAGCTATCTAGAAAAAGTGAACCGTTCCCACGTGGATCGTGAAGGCCAAGCCACTGAACCGTTCCATCAAGCCGAAAGACCTTTTAAGGATGCCAGCGCGGTTAAGTAACTGCTGCACAAGAAGAATCCCAGAAGCTTTTCTCTTCTCCTCCATCCTCTCTCTCTCTCTCCCTCTCCCTCTCTCTCTATATATGTCTCATCAAAAGAGGAAGCACTAGTGATAAACGATAGCCATTAAACAAAGCAAGAGAGAAACAGAGAGAGGGAGAGATGGAAGGGAAGTGTAAGAAGCACACGAGCCACAAGCAGTCAAAAGGGGTTTGTCCCTATTGCCTCAAGGAAAGGCTCGAACAGCTCACAGCTTCCTCTGCTTCTTCTACGACTAATCTTTCTTCTTCCATGGCTTCTTCAGCAGCTTACTCTTCTTATAATGATTCTAATGACGCGTCTTCTTTAAACGAGTCTCCGAGACGCAAACATCGCAGTAAGAGGACTCTGTTGCACTTGCTTAAGGGAGGAGGAAAGGAGGAGCCTTTGAGGAGGAGTAGTTCGCTGGCGTTTCCGATTGGAGAAGGAAAGGAGGAAAGGAAGGAGAAGAAGAAGAAGATTAAGAAGAGAAGCAAGAGATCGAGTAGTATGTTTTGGACCAAGTTTATGTTGGCCGGAGAGGGAAGAAGGAAGGAGAAGGAATTAGTAGGGCTCTATCATTCAAAGACCGTGAAGGAGAAGTCTTCTTCTATGTGGGCTTTCTTCACTTAGAAGAAGAAAATTATAGATCTGTGTATATATGTATTATGTTGAGCATTTGTTTTTCGTTATTGAAATTTCGTTTATAGAAATTTCTTGAAAAAATGACTTGCCTTTTTCTTTATATTTGATTCATGTTTCCTTTTCTTATGTGCTGAAGAATTTCTTGAGGAACATTGTTTGGCTTCTTCATCTCAAGTAGCCATGCCAACTGCCTCTGCTCTTTCGTTAGCGTAATGGATATGCAATTGATTATGGTATTATTGAAAGCTAAGCGGTTGAAATGAGAATATCTATCGTTGGCTACAGGCAGGCATTATTAAAAAAGGAAGAAAGCTGTCTACGGCACCTCCGTTGAAATTCAGAAATCAAATGGGGTCCAGCAAAATCTAGTAATTATGTTCACAACACGTCACGATGGATATGGAAGATGAGAGGTTACAACCAACTAATCATTTTCACACCAAGAAATTATACAGCCTAAGCATCAACAGGACCAGATGGAGATGATTCCTCCAAATTTTCAGATGCCAAAAGCTTACCAAATGAGTATTTCCGTCAAACAAGAGGAGAGATTATTCTGTGTGGACATCGGACGGGAGAACCGTCCGGTCCGCGCTTGGTACCAAGCATCGGTACCGAGTGTCAGTACCGCACTCGGTACACTTTTGAGATGACGTGACACATTTTTATTGGTCTATGAATGACGTCCGGACTTTACACAGAATAAAAATTCCAAACAAGATAGACCACAGACAGCAAGCAGCAAAACAGTAAAAATTTAAGAAGCAATAAGATGCTGTTATAATCAATCAGAACAATATTGTTTTTTTGGTCCCGTTGATCAGTTCTTGATATTTTGGCACAAATACATGAGACAATTTTACTGATTTCTTGACACCTACCATTAATTGCTGTAAATTTGTGTTGTATAAAGTAACCATTTCACTATAGTTGGAATCCACTTTACTGGTCTTTACAAATTTAATATGGTTGGAGTAACTTATGAAGAAGCCTGAACTATTTCCTGTTGAGGTGACACATCTTGGTTGGCTCCGGCCATAAAATGTCCTAACTATCACCATCTTCAGAGTCAAAATTGCCCATCTGATCTTTGTGTGGGCGCTGTTTGAGTCTCTGAAATATTTCGTCCAGGGATTCCGATGACGAAACACGGGCAGGAAGTGATATTTCCTGAATCTCTCGCAGGGGAAGCAGCTTTCTTGCACCGATATTGTTCTTAAGTTTTTGAAATCCAGATTTCATGGATGCCCACTTTGAGGAAAGACTTGAGCCTGATTCGGTAGTATTTACATCTGATTGATTGTGGGAGACGGCATTCTTTTTTGATGTCTCTGTGATGGATGACTTTCGGTCTTGCCTTGTTGCATATTTTTCGGCTAAGGCCTCTTTGCTGGTGCCATGTATTTGGTTGTCTTTTCTCTGAGATTTTAGGGTCTTTTGGGTTTCTTCCTTGGAAGGACCTTCTGTAGTATCCTTATCCTGCAAAGTAATAAATAACAGATCATCATCTTATAACTAATGCAAGCAGATCTGACAAACGAATATTTGAGCTAACCATTTTGCTAAGAAAATCTATTGCATATGATAAAAGCCAATCAAATAGGGTAATCATCTAGACGTTAACCATTTGATTCCTATAAAATGATATTATACACAAAACAATGAGCTGCCTGCTTTTCTAAATACAGTTTCAATGCAGACTATTAAATGAGATGCAACAGAGGCTTCGTTTGGGATGGCTTTCTTGTTGCTTCTTAAAGCAGCTTTTTAGTAGAAAAATATTAATTATTGAACTAGAAAGATACTTTAAAAAGCAGCAAAAAAAGCCGTCCCAAATGAAGCCTGAGTTATCTCATATCAATAAATTCAGAAGAAAAAACTAGCCTGCAAGTTAAGAGCATGAAATAACTCATGTGACACAAGACAAATATCAAGCAGTGGCCTCATGAACATAACGTATTTAACTAGAGTTGTAGCACTTTCAGAATTTCAAGCACAAAAAATGAAAGTAAGTCATACCAGTGAGACATTGCCAGATTCAAGATCCACATTAACGTTGCCAAAATTTCTTGCTAATGGTATGACTTGCTCACCAACGTTATGCCCTTTTTCAAGCCAAGAACGCTCTGTATGGAGTGAAGTGGCCACAGAAATCAGTTAGTGATTTGCTTTATAATGTAAGTCAATAATGTTATGTGCAGATTTCCCAAGCAGCACTGTGCATTGTTATGATGAATACCATTGTAATGTGAATGGCAAGAGTAGGCAATCTTAGTGTTAAACTAATTTAATGGACAGGCACTCTCACAAAAGCTGAAAGTAATGTTCACAGGTGAGCAGATTCATGAAGAAAATGATTTAATGGAAAATTATAGATCTCTCTCGAAGGTTGGAAGGGTGTGCAAGGGAGGGCAACTAACATATAACAAAGCAGGACCAAAGTACACTTGTCAAGCTTGCCTTTTTGCAGGATAATTATTCCTGATTGATCAAAGCCATTCATATCCTCCTCTTCATTCCGTAACCTGAACCTTTTCCAGCTTCCAAAATAATCAATCACTCGACCAAAAAAGTTAACTGCAACCAGCACCGTGTAAATAACCATAATAAGAGGGTATATTCTATTAAAGCCTTGACCAAAGAAAGGAACAGCATCGTCAATGTTTCCCATCCTCTGAAAAAGAAAATTAGAAGAAAATCAGCATACCAATAGAACGAAATAAACAAACTTTTTTTTTTTTGGCATAAAAGGATATATCATTAATTAAATTGAAAATACAAGATAGGACACTGCATCATTACTAAAGTACCTAGAAACTCATAAAAAGACAAAATGGAAGTAGACACACAAGACTTCAGAGTAAATAAAAAGTTCAAATGGATCATAATTGGAAAATTTCTTACTAGAGGATCTCTTATACTTCTAACTTTAAATGTAATTTATAGGAAAAAAATTAATCTGCCTCCATTCCACGTCATTTATAGGAAGGAGGTAAAAGAAATCTCCATCGCCATATTTGAGAAATTTCCTACAAAGAATAAAATCTAAATGAGCCTACATACCACAGACATGAAATGACTTGAGAAATGATTCAAATTAGTCTTTTTATTAAGGGAAATAGTTGGAGTAGCTATCATAGTCTGTTGAGTGGAAGATTCTTCAATAGTATGAGAAAAATATAGAGGGTCCAAAAAAGTTGAATCAATGGGAGCCATTGCATTAAGAGCCACCTGAGTCAAGAAACATTTTCCTGAGGGGAAGAAGAAGACTCTTTATTAGAAGAATAGCTATTAGGATCAACCTCCACTAGAGCATCTCAAAGTATCATAACATCTAAAACTGAAGCTACTTTTCTACAAGAAGATATATTGTGGCCAAATAGGTGATAATGATTACAATAGAAAGAAACCCTCTCAAAGACATCCTTGTGTAATCAGATTCATTAGTTCCAATCCATTTTTTCCCTTGAAAGGCCTTAAGATACATCAACCTCCACCAACACTTAAACCACATAGGAATTGAACTTGGATGTCATCAAAACATCCGCATGCAATGGATTATTAAAATCAGAGCCTAGACAAAATATGATAGATTTGTTAAAAAAATGTACTCTAGGATACGAAAATTGCTATCCAGATCAGAACAATAGAGGATTCTTGGGGAAGCTCACAATGAGAATGGATCTGCCCACAATGCAATGCAATTTTATACAATCAAGAATTCGATAAGAACATACCTCAAGTAATAGAAAAAATCACTCAAATCACAATTATATAAAAAGCTTCTCATAATCGAAAAAGTGGGGTGGCCATACATGCACTTTCCAAACAAGAAAAATTTTAGAGGTTCAGCAAACCGGTTGATAGCATTCTCAGGACTAATAAGAGCAAGTTTATCTTGGAAAGAAGATGAGAAAAGTGATTTGATGCTATAATGTGAAAAATGAAAATCATATAAACATGATGAGGGGCAATTGTAAGAGGGTTTAGCATTTTTCGAACTCTAGGCCTAGACCACTTGCACGAAAGATTTGCCTAAGGCGAATGTAGCGTCAACGCCTCGATAGGCAACATAGAGGGAGAAACAAACAAAAGTCATGTCAATGTCGAGTTCACGCTAATTATAATGAATCTCATCAGCAGCAACAACTGAAGGAACTAGCTATTGTAGATAAAAATCCCAATGACTACCTCAACGGGAGAAAATGGTTGTTGGAGATGAGATGGAGTAAGGTCCATCACTGGCACCACATTCATAAATAGAGGTAATGCATTTGAGGGTGCTGTTGAGGCTAGAACAATGGCCAAAGCTGACCCCAAAATCAAGAGCGAAGGGCCACTACAAGCAATGCGTGTGAGCAGCAATTGATGGAGGACAAAGGTTTGCATTCCAATTGGGCGATAGATTATTTCCCCCGATTCATAGATATCATATGCCCAAAGGAATCAAGGTAAATGACCACCACGAGCAAAACGTGAGTTTCCACCAATGAAATATACCTACCTCAATAAAATAATATCCAAAAATTAAATAAAAATAATCCATACCAGTAGCATAAATTGGTAATTTACAAGCATTGATGCCATGCAAAAGCCTCATGATAGGTGCCTAATGAGGTAAGATATTTACACGATCTATTGTGCACAAGAGTTTCAAGCTATCTTAGCTCAAAATTTTGCACACGCGCACCAGCTAACAAATGAAGCAATGGTGTGTGATGATAAGATCAGCACATCCCCAGATAGCGAGAATGAAAGTGTCATAAATAGTTATGGTGTGGACAACAAAATGTTGCTTGTTTTGGTCTTAAGCATTGTCTGATCATTAGAGGGTAGGTACAACACAATTTTAGTGCGTTCATTCTTAAGATTTTGTTTTCAAACTATCGATGTCATAAGATGGCCATGAAAAAGAGACTATTGTTATCCGATCTTCATATGCTATATGGAAAACAACCAAAGATGACATGTTTAACATGGCTATGATGTTGATAGGACTACCAAAGATGGGAAATAACAATAGTTTGGTCTTTAGGAACACTCAAGTATATGGGGGACTCAAAAAATACCCAAAAGAATTGTCAGTCCAATACATAAACCTTAAACGTGCTTGATTCGTAAATCAATATAAAAGCTGACATCAACATATTGTTGTAGATTAATGTAGATACAAACTTTTACAAGAAATCAAAATTATTTTGTACTGAATCAATGGGAGTATAAAGAGTTAACGCGAAGTGTTATAGAAAAGGAGGGTAACTCATAAGGAAATACACCAAAATATATCCTTGAATATTTATTTCTATGTTAAAACAATAACCGATCTCAAGATCTCTCCATATTTGAAAGAAAATAATATCACTCCAATTTAATGATTCAATTAAATATTTGATTGATTCTCTTGAGTTCTTAATTTATATTTATTTATATGATTCTAAATAGGTTTTACGATTTAAAACATTCCCTCTAGATAATTTGGTGGGCCCCTATTTCTTAAAAAAATAAAATAAGGTACAACTAATTATCAAGATAATCAGCCTTTAAAACTAATCTAGTGAGAAGCCTCCTTGCTTGCCCTGCATCAACTCTCCACCACTCAATGAACTTTACTCAGCAGAGTTGAAAATATTTTGATAAAGCGTGAGAGACAATACTCAATGTTTCTATACAAGTGGGTGCATCTAATGGTACAATATCTATAATCACCGAGATAATTGATAATGAAAATAATTTTAAAAGTGAACTTATATACCCTACATATGAGCTAGTTTTTCCAAAAACAATGCTTAATAAGCCCTTTAGATTAAAAGATATTACATGTGATGAAAATAAGAGTAATAAGTTAAAATGTCAAGAGGCGAAACTAAAAGATAAGCAGAAAGTTTAAGGTTGCTATTTTTCAGATAATATTTGTTGGATTTATAGGTAGGGAATTGAGTGTAAGAACATAATCAATATTATAATATTTCCAAGATGAATAGTTCTGAAAAAATACTTTTAACAATATTATCAATATTTATGCCAACTAGTTATAACACATATGGATAAAGACCATGCACATTAAGTGCTAAGTAAAATGTAGTATCATACAATGAATGAACAGTGACGTTACTTATATTAGAAGGCTTTAAAAACAAACTATCAATGGCATAATTCATCTAAGAATGCTGAATCAAGTGAGTTAAATCTAACAAAAGAGGTCTAGGAATAATATCTAAGCTAAGGTTATATGTCATATGGAGATGGCAGCTCAGCATTTGTGTACCTAATGCGTGTCAAATAGAACAAGCTAGGGATCTAAGATCATATTAGGTATGTATATCCCAAGGGAAAATGGTGTGTCAAACATCTCAAGAGATAAATCTCATTAAGTATGCCCTAAGGTAAAAAAAAAAAAAGATCGGGGATTTGAGGCCACATCAAATAAATGCATCTTGGAAGGTATGGTGTATCAAAAATAAAAAATAAAAAGTCTAATCAAGTAGTTCAGGCATCAGTTGAGCCAGACAAATTTAACCAGGGATTTAAAATTTCACTATATTTAGGAAGAGGTTCTAGATCATCCTTAAGAACTTGTCCTATTAATTTCTCAAGAAAATCGAATATTTCATTTATATAATCAAACCTATCAACAATGTTTTGAGTTCTAGCATTTATGTTGAGATTAAACACTTTTTATCTCCTTCACCAAATATAGAAGGATATTTTCTAATTTGTGAGGACGTTATGCTATGGTTATGAGTTTTAGACTACCTTGAGCAGCATTTAGATTTCAAAATCTTTTTGTATCTCCACCAATATTAAAGTTTCTCTCCCAATTTTTTACTCTCGTTCCAAAAATTCATTACAATTTAGCATTTCCTATCAATTTTATTTTTGCAAAATTAGTCTCTGATTATCTTCATACTTTGCCAATCAAAGAAGCCTTCCAAATATTTAAGCTAATAATTTTTTTTTTAATATTGTACTCACCAATAGATGACATAGTTTTAAATTTTAACTTGGTGTAGAATAGTAGGAGCTATATTATGATGTAAAGGGATGCATGATTATGAACACAATAAGAAGTGCAATGTTTTATATATAAAAATGCTAAAGATGGAAAGATGAAATTAAAAAAATTTAGTTGAGGAGAGGAGTCAGAATATACAGTTTTAGTCACAAGCTCTTTTTAGATAATTTACGTCTTTTCGACAAAACCCTTTTAGTCTTACAAATACATAAACAACTTGTAGTTTTTTTTTCTTTCCGTTTGCAAAAAATATTTCTGCATAAGAAAAAATAAATCTTATGCAATAATTAAATGCAAGTACCTGAATATTTTTGAAATTTTAAACATTTGTTACCAACTTATTTTTATAAGATATACAAGCATAAATTAATTAATCACAAGTAAACATCAAGAGAATATAATTGCAATTTCAAGTCTTAAAAATACATATAATAGGTTGCATGAGATATTTCTTTGTGGATCACACCCTTACATTGCATTTAACTCTCGTGTATCAATGGGTGGGGAAGATTTTAAAAATAGGAATGGCATGGCTTTTATGTGGTGTTCAGCTGTCAGAAAACAAGCAAATTAATCTTAGAATTGTCAACATAGTATGCCAATATACTTAATTTCTTTAACGTAAATTTATATTAAAGTAATCTAATAGCAAGGGAAAAGCAAATGTTATAACTTGATTTCAAAGATGCCTTGTTGATGAAATATAATATATTCTATTCTTGAAACAAAAGTTATATAGTGAATGTAAATCATGGTGGAGGGGTTTGAAAAAATAGAGACCTTATATCAGAGAATGAAAGTGGTTTTAGGTCAATTTGAAGTGTAGTTGTACAGTTCAAAATTTTGTATATTGCTAGTCTTAGCAAGGGGACACCACAAGTTAGGGTTTTATAAGAACATGGTTCAATTTTATACGGGTTGAGGTGGGTTAAGACTTTGAGAAGTTAGTGGGGATGTAGGAGAACAATAAATAAGAGAGGAGAATATGTTAGGTTTGTAAATCTTAATTGTGGTTGATTTGTAAATCAATTCAAAATCAGACGGCACCAATTTTTCATATAGACATAAGTTTTTTCAAGAGATCATAGTTTTTTTTCCATTAATCAATGACAGTATAAATAGCACAAAGTTTTATAAAAAAAAAATAGAGAAAAACACATAAGAAAATATAGTAATATACCAAAAACCCTCCTATAAAAATCATTCATAGGCTATAATGGCATCCCCCGTCATGATCTCTCCATATTTGAAAAACAACATTCTACTTTAAAAAATTTAATTACTCTTTAACTGATTCTCTTGAAACCTTAATTTGTGCTAATTTATACAATTAAAAAAAAATTAATCTTTAAAATATTTCCACCAAAAAAATAATTGGTGTCCCCCTATTTCTTACAAAAAATAAAATAAAATAAAACAAGGTACAATTAATTGTCATGATAATTAATCTTTAAATTAACCTAACGAGAGGCATCCTAGCTTGTCAAGCAACACTTTTTCCTAAAAAAATATTAAATATTTTTCAATTTTAAATTTTGGGCCTGCTTTTGAATGCACATAGGGAGGAGATTTGGAGTTTCATTTACAAGCATTTATTTGGCTTACATCAAAAGAAAAAGATACACGCAACACCACTAAACAGCATAGAAAAGCAGGCATCACAAGAAAAGATTAAAAGCTAAGAAAACCATATTTGACATCAATACCGGGCAATTTTTTAAATTAAGCCAAAATTTATTTTTCATGTGTACAGAAAATGCTGGAGAATGATCACCTTCTCAAAAACAGTTTTCCTATCTCCATCAAGGCGAATAAGATTCAGAAAATTGTAGGAAATCGGAGGTGCATATCTTGCAACCATTCTGCCACAAACAGATTAGTCACATAAAAGAACAAAATCAACAAGGATTCCAATAATTAGTAAAAATTTGAAAAGCAGAGCCGTACGAGCATATCATAAGCAAACTAACTGAGCTTGTTTGTCTTGGAGTTAAAGAGTAGAACATGAGCATTCCAATCTTGAACAACGAATAATATGTGCAAATGCACATATACATAAGAGGAACAAACGCAGCAATCTGCAAAAGCACATATCAAGTTAAATAAGCAGTTGTAAAAGTAAGAAAATAAAATGGATATAAATAACCAGAAAGAAGAGTCTTCTGATGTAAAGAAGATAATATCAACATGAAGGTGAAGTAGTAATCTAAGAATAATGTCAGCTCAGCGTTATGCTAGCATTTGAACAAAATGAAAATAGCCCGCAAATAATGCCAATCATTACAAGCCTTTGATTTAAATCTAATTTATTTAGACGAAAGAGTGATACACAGCTGAATTTCAGCTGAGAAATCAAAATACTTCCTAACCGGGCAATTAATACAACTTAACATGAATCTACATCAGGGAAGTCATTTATGACACAATATGGCTGGTTTTATGACCAACCAAATATGTCCAAAAAGTTTAATTAGGGTTTTATTCAAGGATTAAAAAAAATAAAAAAATTAAATAAATAAATAAATAAAAAGGGGTTTTAGTCAACAAAAAAAAAACTCACATTCAAGTTAACTTCTCTAATTGACTAAGAAATTGCTCTGATACCAATTTGATATGACTTGATCATCAAAAGTCAGCGAACAAATAGTAAATTTTAGCAAACCAACATATTTTTATTGATAAGAAAATAAATAAGAACAAACAAGATACATTGGTCCTCTTTCAAGAGGAGGACATTCTCTCCCAAATCCTAGACGCTGCTAGAATACCTCGCAAAAACCGTGGACAAGAAACACTCACAAAGCTCATTAATAACATACCCTAAGCCATAAACAAACTCCTCATTAAATAGTCCTAGAATACAATAACACAATTAGAACATTCCTAATCAACATAAACATAATTTAGAAAATATTTCTAAATAAATAGAACCTTCCTAAACAATTAAGCATTATTTAGAAAACCTTCCTAAACAATTAAGCATGATTTAGGAAACCTTAATAAACAATTAAATATGATTTAGGAAACCTTCCTAAATGATTTCTCTTAATTAAGAATTTTCCTAAACAACAACCTCTTGATTAGGTACCTTCCTAAATATAATAAGCATAATTAGAAAATATTTCCAAAACAAATAAACTATTACTAAAAATCTCTCCCTTAATTTCTCCTCCTTACATAATGAATTAAAGCTTCCCTAGGCCACATAAGGGGGACCAAAATCACCCTTTGATTCTTCCCCTAGTTTTGCCCAACCCTTGGGCTGGTTCGGCTCCTGCTCGACAGTCCGGCTGGGATGGTCCAGGTCTTCTCCTTATTGCTACTACATCTCCTGTTGTTGTTGCTGCCCCTCTTGTTATTTTGGCTGGTCTGGGCTGGTCAAGTGGCCCCCTCCCCCCTTGGCATATCAATAACCCATGGCTTGGCAAGGACAACTCCATGCGGTAAATGATTATGACCGCGACCGTCGAACGACTCCACTGTATATGGTCATGGATAAAAGTTTGTATGTTCCCCAATGGCTATTTACAATTGAGTAATGAATTATAAGGTATAATCGATAAGGCACAAAGCCTCTTGTTAGCTATGGTTGACTTGAATTCGTCCTTTAGTCAAACATTCATCCTAAGTCTATAAGGTACCCTTGTACAAAGCAACTCATGACTATTCCTTCGGTCAAGTTGGGTCGACTACTTCCTTTAACTAAGTGGACTAAGGACAATGATGACCTGGTGCGGCGAAACCATGAGACCTTAATCGGGTTTATTATCATTCCCCCCCCCCGTTTATTATCTCCCCCCCCCCCCCCCCCCTCCATCTACTTTAAGTGACAGATGATAGAATTTCCAAATTCAAATTCTAAATTTGATGCTACTATACACTAGATATTAAGTATTTATTTAATGAGTATCCTTAATCGAAAGGGCTCTCCCATTATCGAGACGGGTAATTAACAATAGGGGTTTGTATTGCGCCTATAGGAAACCAGAATTCAGATATCAAATTCCTCGCTAAGAGAGTGAAATCTCTGGGTAGTGTCTTATCTCTATCTAATCTGCCTTCAGAAAATTTCCCCCATAACTTCATGTGTTAAAACTTTCCCCGAATGTACGCAGAGAGACCAGGGCCTTAAAAGCTCGAATTTTTGGAGCCCACAGAAACCAAGTGAATTTGTTCATGCCTATCATCCTTCCTAACATTTGATCCTCATACTAGTCTAAGATTTGTGCTTTAGTGCTATCCAGATCAGCCTATAATCAGAAAAAAACATAGAGAGAAACAGTAAATTAATGTTGAAACTCTGAATTTATATAGCTGTAAAAAATATGACCATGAAGACAAAAATGCATCATACATGCTTCCGTGGTTATGCACTTCTTAGGAATAACAATATTATAAAAGAATCTCATAACAAGCAGATTGGTTTGCCATAGTTTATAGCAAAACTTCACGAATTAAGGAGAAAGATTTATAAAGTCAACCACAAATAGTTTGGGTGATACTAAAGATGATTATGACAGCAATGAACATTATACAACAGAAGACAATGTAGAAAGCAAGACCTAATCTTAAGATGCGAGTCGTGGCTTGATTACAAGTCAATACTTAATCAATAAGGTAAAAAAATATATATTTGGAAAATTCGAAATAGTTCATCAATAAATGGTGATGTCATCCCTCCATATGTTTACCTGAACGAGCATCTCCTGCTTCCCAACTGTGTTTATAAGTATTGAAAAGAGAGACAAATCTACCCCACTAGGCAGAATGGTTGCTTCAGCCAATAGGATGGCAACAGTCATACAACCAAGTAGTACTGCTGCAAATTTCTTAACTCTATTTTTGAGAAAGCAGCGCCATACAAGCTCTGCAAGATCAGCCAAATTTCTATTTCCCAGTTTACCACTCCGTCATTAACTATTAGCCATAAAATTGACTTCATAGAAACAAAGAAGTTACCCATTGTATCCGCAAATGATCCGAATGCCCCGGTCCGACTTCCTCTGAAACTAGAAATATATTTCCTGCGGGCAGCCAAACAAAGCACATGCATTAAGAAATCACCGAAGTTGGACCTGGGATCACAATTCAAGACAGCCATGACGACTAAATCAATTTTCTAGCAGATGACAACCATAAATAATAACATTTGTGGTTCAAACTTACTAGAAGGGCAAGGTGTTCCATAACTTGCTAGATAAAATAATGGACAATTATATCCAAAGCAAACGAGGATTTACATACAACTAGATTGAGTATCAAAAGTGCATAAGTTTAAAATCTTATTGATGGGATTATGATGCGCCCAACATGAATTTGCCAGAAAATCTGACTTCATCAAAATTGCTCTACAAGGCTACAGAACAGCTGACTAATTCGTCATAATTTAACAGCAAGATAAAAGTTTCAAGGCTCCAAGCCATGGCGATCCAAGCACATAGAACTGAACCTGAAGACACATCAGTGAAACTGATATCATACAGAATTGTTTTCAGCTGTATGGGCATTCAGAAGTTGAAGATTTGATTGCAAGCATGGTTGAAATTTTCAGTTATACTTCTTCAATTTAATGCAATATCAATCATGTAGATGATGACATAATATAATTAAAGCATCTATTTCTGATGAAAAGATAGATCCTAGGATATTTTCTAATTGGTAAAGGACAGACAATTTATTTCCATGGAAAACAATATCTGGTAAGTGACAAGTGAGATTTAAATAACTAAAATTGATCGGGCAAGCTAAAATGTAGTTGATGAGTACGGGAAAAAAGGGGAAAGGTTGAAATGAAAGGGCTTTTAAAAGAAAAATACTTACCTCCATCTTATCATGATTGTTCACTAGATCAGCCTTCACTCAAGAAAAATAATTTGGTATGAATCCCACCTTCTAGACTTACGATTTCTTTTTTTTTTTTTTCTTAAGACAGATTAATTTTTTTACATAACCAGATTTCCCCCAATGAGCATGTCAAGGTTTATTTAGATTTGAGATCTCTACTTCCTATGAGTGTAAGACCTCATAATTAATTACTCCTCCCACTCTTGGGAGAACACTCTCGATTAAAAATGAGTCACTTTGTTATATCTTTAGATCTAAGGTTGACAATTTAAGATTTATTTGTATTAATAGAGAGAAGTTTATAGGGGATGGAGGTATAACCGATCAAGATCCGATGGTTCCGTCATCCTGGATATACTAATGATTCTCAGTCTACCCAATGTTAATGTCATATAGACCGCTACATCCAGAGAATCTGATTAGCATCCATGAGTTATCTCCTCTCAGGGATCCCGAGCAGACTGAGATAGTTGGATGTTGTCTTTGGTTTGTTGTAGTTAGAGTTTGGGGTTTATTGCTCCTTTAGGAACTGCCTATTGATTTGGTTTAAGTCTTATTGCTTCGATTAGAAGCTGTTTATTAATTTAATTTAGAGCTTATTGCTTCGATTAGAAGTTTCCTATTGATTTGAATTAAGATAGGACTTATTACTCCCCTTTAGGATTTGCCTGTTAATTGTTTAATTTTTAAACGAATTCTGATATATTTAAGCCATTATTTGCTTTACATTTTTCTTTAGCTTAGGCATTAATGACGCCCTTTTTTTTTATCGCATATTATGCAATAATTAATTATATTTATTTATTTGTTTGCAAGTGCTAGAGCCAATGTCAATCCAACTTGATTATTATTGTTATGCTTTATGTAGTTGGATCATTATACTAAAAAAAATTTTATTTAGTGTAAATATTCTTTTGTTTTAGAAGTTTAATGTTTCGATATAGTTTTTCTCATTATTTTTTTATTTTTATTTTTATTGTTATTATTTTTTATTCTTCTTCTTTTCTTTTTTTTTTTTAATTTGATAGTAATTATCTAATTAACATTTTTATATAAAAATTATTAAAAACTATATAATTTGAGACAAGGTGTCGGGTAGGCCCTTGCCTTTGTTCATCCCAGTCGGATCAAAGATACGACGACGTGAGATCATCTAATTATTTTTCCCTGGTCGGATCAAATATACAACGACGCAGTCTTAGTTGTTTTTTGTATGCATGTACTCTTGTTACAATTGATTTCATTTAACCGAGAGGGATTTCATTAATTATTGTGCACGGTTGAATTTGCACCGCATCGGCGTCGAATTCACAATAAAGATTGCGCTCGTTCAGAACAAAATAGGAGCAGAAGTCAGGAGGGACGCGGTTGGGCTGAGTGTGAGAGACGTGAATGAGATGGGGACGAGTAGTGATACGGGGGTGAGCGGAAGGAGGGCTGGCGTTTGAGAGGAGCAAAGCCTAGTCGGGCCGGAGGCCAAGATGCAGGATTGAAGAGCGGGTAGCAAGCAAATTCGGGATTCTAGACTGGGCAAGAGTGCATACCAGAGGGCTTTTCTCTTCCAATTTTTTTTTTTTTTTTGGTGTAAAGATGAAGGATCAAGTCACTTTGGTGAAATGAGACATCTCTTTTGTTTTTCTCTTTTCTTTTCTTTTTATTTTACAAACTATCAGTTCAATTCTTTAAGGTAATGAACTAAAGCTGTTACTGAATAAATGAACAAATTAGATATTTTGTTACATTCTAACACACTTAAGACCATAAAATCAACATTCTTTGAGTTTAGAATTGATTGAGATAGGAAATCACTTGAATATGTTTTTCAACTTGTATTGAATTTTGGGTAAATGTTAAAGCTTAGTATGTCTAAGTAAATTACAATATATTTAGGGAGTGCATCTTTTCATCAAAATAATCAAATCTAGTCAGATGCACCCGTTGCATCCATCTAAGGTGGATAATATAATTTTACTAAGGGCGCTTAAGAGAAATCTTCTACGTCAACTCCTCATTTTATTATATACTTCTAAGTAATAAGAGGATAGAATGGAAACTTAAAGGTAAATTCCATAAAATCGCAAATAGGCTAGCAATATTATTGGATTTCAATATTGGGTTGTAAAAAAATGATTGATATTTTAATTTGAATGCCACAAAAATGAAAATGTTAAAATGGACATATGAGAAAATTATGAAAGAAAAATTAATAAATGAATATATTTAATGAAAGGATGAAGTGATATCTATTAAAGATAAGATGAGTGAAAATATACTTAGGTAACTTGAATATAAACAACAAAAGGTAGAAAATACATATGTTAGGTGAACAGATAAATTAATGTCTAGGAAAGGAGAAAGGTAGATTGGACAAAAGTTTTTCAAAATGATTTATAAAGAATAGGTATAACACCTCCAATAGCACACAACAAGAACTAATGAAAAATAGGAATTCATAATGCCAACCCCAAATAATTGGGAAAACTTTAATGATGATGATGATGTTGGTTTGGGCATACACAACGAAGGATAGAAAATGTCTCCATTACATGAGTAGATAAATTAGTTTTAAAGTATTAGAAAGAAGGGGGATTAGAACTAAGGTTACATGAATAGATTTGCAAATTGATTAACAAAGAACAGGTTTAACTCTTTAGATAGCACTTAGGGAGAGGAAGAATAAATGAAAAATTAGAATTCATAAAGCTAATCCCAAATAACTAGCATAAGGCTAATGATGATGATGATTTGATACTTGATGGAAGGTAAAAATTCAATCTTTGAATAGAGTTAAGAAAAAGTCAATAATAAATAGCATGATGTTAAGAAGCATAAAAGAGAACATTCTAGAAATAGTGAACACAAGTCCTGCTGAACTAACCATCCAGTTGAATCACAATGCTGATAATTTTTTATGGTGTCTTCTAGCCGTAGAGCCTCCATTACGTATGTCATGTATTCACTGCAAAAAAAGGTGTAAACAAGATAGTTATACGAAAACCACAAGAACCTTGTAAAAAATCTTTTTGAAGTTTCAACAATTTTTTCATCTTAAAACTTAATTAGTCTATAGATACAAATTTGTTAATCTATTTCATCGATACATTTCTAAATGGTAGCACGGAAGCAATAAAGTAACTGATCAACTGCAAATCAGGTGATCAACTAAATTTATGGACAATACCTCTTACATCGATAATACTCCTCATGAGCTTTCTTTAGTTGGCGCCTTAGTGTAGCCATTGTTTTTTCATCTGTATCATAATCCATATCATTTTCGCCCAACCTTCCCCCTGATGGCTTGAAAGATGGATCTTCCTTAAACTAAGAAAAAATAACTTATCTTAAAACAACGTAAATGAGATGCTACCGGTTCTTTTAACATGGGAAAGAATCTTATCAATCAAGAAATACCATTTGGACAAGCATGTTGTCAACAACATCCATGTAAGGTCTCAATGGATCCCTCTTGGACATTTGTTTGGATGTGGCCTGAGCAATCTAGCAAAGTACATATGGTTAAAACCAAAGAAACCTAAAATTATAAGTTGCTTAAGATAAATGAGAACTCATGTCATCTTCACTAATTTTAAAAACAAGTAATAACTGAAAAGTGAAGGATTATTGTAATTCTTCAGCTATCAAGAAGTCAATCAAACAAAGGGACAAAACGAAAAAAGAACATTCATAGTGCATTACAGTTTCATGGATTGCAAAAAGGAGGTTCTAGATTTGATTAAATATACCACCACAATACAATGATAAACAAAATGAATGAAAATAGTAAGAATGCTTTTGTCAATTGACTTTGACGCCAATGCCATTTTAAATGATTTAAAACGCTTCATAGGATACCAGGTTCTGTGTCTTCCATTCTAATCATGTATGGTCTATTCACATGTTGCAGGCACCAGGCAGCATTCACATCAATCTATCACCACGTTGGCAGGTAACTGTAATGGTTTCATTTCAACATAAGTTCTTATAATACATGAGCTCTTTTCTTCAGATTAATTTTTTGCAAAATTAAGCGAGGTTTTTATGTCTCTTATATTATGCCATTATGGCATGCAAGAACAAATGTGTACTCCGATAGAAATAATGTCTCATTTGATCTGTTGAGACCCTAACTTTTTTAGAGTTAACATATTGTGCTTGATAATAAAAAGAGAGAATAAACACCCACGGTATAAAATGATGCTGGCAATGCCACAAGGCCTGCACAATAGCATGGAACCAGTGGATTCACGGTCATGACTAGAGTGATCTGCTCAGCCATATTCAGCTTCTAGCTAATAAAAGCAATCGGATGGCCCTGCTAACTCAAAATTTCAGCCATCTCAACCTCAAAAAGATCATATGCTAACTAAAAGCCCACAAAAATTTGCAGCTTCAAGACAGAAGCATCGGCCAGACTCGTATTCATGTCAGTGCCATCATGGCAACTACAGTCCACTTCAACTCCAATTTTTTGAGACATCTTGTAATGGAAGGCATAATAAAACTAAGCCCCTCTCAGACCGTGAAATCTCCTAACCTCACAGATGTTTTGCAGTTGGTGCCAATCTCAACTGGCATTAACTTCCTCGAGGTCAATTGCAGCACCCTCTACAGAAATAGCAAAACCTAAGATCATTAAAGAATGCATTATTATGCAATTCGTGACCCTCTACAGAAATTAAAAAAAAAAAAACTAAGATCATTAAAGAATGCATAATCATGCAATTCGTGACCCTCTACAGAAATAAAAAAAACCTAAGATAATTAAAGAATGCATAATAATGCAATTCGTAACCCTCTACAAAACATCATTAAATTCACGTGATTTTTTTCTCAATGTAAGGCCTCATGAATTCTCCTTAGATAAGTAAATTGATTGTCCCTAGTAATATCATACATTAGAATCAAATCAAAAAAGATGAAACATGCTTAAGAAAGGACGTAGGTGAATCTATATATGACCATTCTGAGATCAATCTTCAAAAGGATTATCAATCTAGTAGTCAGCATGTAAGTTATCAAGATACCAAATATGGCCCACAACAAGCCTAGGTAAACCCATTTTAGTTACACAACAACAAACAACAACAACATCAAGCCTTTGTCCCACTACGTGGGGTCGGCTAAATGAATCCTTTTTCTCCATTGTGTCCTGCTAAAAGTCAAATTCTCATTTAAATCTAAAAACGAAATATCATTTCTAATATTTTCTAACCAAGCCTTTTTAGGTCTACTTCTACCTTTCTTAACATGAGTCAAATCTAACACCTCTACTTTCCTAACCAGGTCATCGAAAGACCGTTGTTTTATGTGACCAAACCATCTAAGGCGACTCTCTCTAATCTTATCTTCCACTGGAGCTACTCCAACCTTTTCACGTATATGCTCATTTCGTATCCTATCTCTAAGAGTAAAGCCACTCATCCACCTAAGCATCCTCATCTCTGCAACACTTAGCTTAGTATTATGCTTCTCTTTTAATGGCCAACATTCGGCACCATAAAGCATTGCAGGTCTCACCACCATCTTATCGATTTTTCTCTTAAGTTTGAGGGGGACTTTTCTATCACACAACAAGCCCGATGCATTCCTCCATTTTAACAATCCAACTTTAATTCTACTGATAATATCCCCATCTATTTCACCATCACTATGAACAATAGATCCAAGATATCTAAAACGTGTATTCTTATTAATGACTTGATCGCCCAAAATCACAATCCCCTCACTAGATCTATTACCATTAAAATTACACTCCATATATTCATTTTTAGATCTATTCATGCGAAAACCTTTCGACTCTAAGGTTGACCTCCATAATTCAAGTTTACCTTCAACTTCCTCTCTAATCTTATCAACAAGAAGAATATCATCAGCAAAAAGCATACACCAAGGTACATCCTCTTGCAAATGTTTAGTGAGAACATCCATGACTGAAGCAAAAATATATGGGCTTAAGGCTAATCCTTGATGAAATTCAACCGAAATAGGAAA